AATAATTAAAAAAATTTGAAAAAAAAAGAAAAAAATTCGAAAAACTCACTTATAGGTAGATTAGAAACCAAAAAACTAGCAAATGCCTAGATCAAGCCCAGATCAACCGATAAACACAGCAGATCTGCAAAAAAAAATTATGGTTAGACTATGGAAAAAAAAAATGTAAGGCTGCAAAAAAAAAACACCAGCAAGATCGCTGGCCAAAAACCGGCTAAAAAGAGTTATTTACCTTGGTGGTGGTTGGCCAGAGATTGGAGGAGAAGCTTGCAGTGGAGAGGAAGAAAAAAGACAGAAAAAACAGAGAAAAATTGTGGAGAAATCGCAGAATGGGGGGACGAGCAAACCGAAGGGAAGAAGGCTGCATGCAGCCTTATCAGGACCGATACCGATCCGAACAAACCTGTCTGTGGGACCCAGCGTCCAATCAATTCAGAGATATTCTCTAATGGATATATACAGACCGAAGACGGTCCGTATATATTTACTTAAATAATATTTTATTCATATTTTTTGGTATTTAATATTTATTTTTTTCAGAAATAATATTCGGACCGAAAACAGTCCGAATATTATTGGCGCGTCTATACTGTGGACTCCCACCAGAAATATTTTTTGGTATTTAATATTTATTTTTTTCAGAAATGATATTCGGACCGAAAATGGTCCGAATATTATTGGCGCGTCTATACTGTTGACTCCCGCTAGAAATATTTTTTGGTATTTAATATTTATTTTTTTCCGAAATAATATTCGAACCTAAAACGGTCTGAATATTATTGGCGCGTCTAAACTGTGACTCCCGCCAGAAATATACGAACCGATACCGGTCCGAATATGTTCATTAGTATATTTTCCCCCACCTGAATATATTCAGACCGATATTGGTTCGAATATTTATTTATTCGGACCGACAATATTCGGTCCGTATACGTCATTTTTCTAGTAGTGAGTTAATCATGTTCATGTGCTGTGTAGGGAATTGGATGTTTTGAATGTGTCACATAGCCCTCATTTCTTACATTATGGTTGTTTGAAGAAAACAAAGAGATAGGAGGGAGGTAAATAGAAATATGTTGTATTTTTTAATATAAAAATTTTTTAAAAATAATGTTGTAAACTATTTCCTTTTCTTTCCTTCTTTTTTAATTATTTTTAGTAACTAAATAAAAAAATTTTCTCCTCCTTTACTTTCTTCTCAAACTAAACATACTGTAAAAATTAAGCATATGAGTTTCAATATAAAACTTGCATATTACCTAAAATCAATTGACAATAGTTGGTGATAATATATATCATAATACACGTGTACATAGTATAGGGTTAGAAGTGTCAATATACTTCTATACATCTTATATATATACCTTGATTATAATCTAATGAGATGAACAATTCAGCTTCAATCACTTTACTACTGTCAAATGAATATTACGATATTTGAAAGGTATTTTGACTTATGGTCTTCAGTTATTTCATAATTTCTCTCTTTCTCTGCATATGTTTACTAATGCTAATTAGGCTAGGTGTGTTAAGACTAGAAGATTTATTTCTGGTTATTGTTTGTTTCTTAGTAATTCTTTGATTTCTTGGTCTTTCAAGAAGCAAAATACTGTTGCTCGATCTAGTGCTAAAGCTGAATATCATGCTATAGCCAATATTGTTGCTAAGGTTCTTTGGGTTCGTCAATTGCTTTTTGAGCTGCATGTTTTTCTCCATTCTCCTCCTATGGTTTATTATGATAATATCAATGCCATTTATGTGTCTCTGAATCCAGTTCAACATCAATGAATAAAGCATATTGAGATTGATATTCACTTTGTTTAAGAGGGTGCTGCTTCTGGTATTATTTGTATTCAATATGTTCCTTCTTCTTCTCAACATATTGATGTTCTAACTAAGGCTCTATCTTCAGCTCTTTTCCAATCTCAATGGTCCAATTTGAGCATCTTTTGCTCTTCCGCTTAAATTGCGGGGATGATAATGTATATCATAATACACGTGTTTATAGTATATGGTTAGAAGTGTCAATATACTTTTATACATCTTATATATATACCCTGATTATAATCTAATGAGATAAACAATTCAGCCTCAATATTCTTTGTTTCCTATGCTTCAGATTCAATTCACTAACATTAGCTTCAATGGGTGCTAGTGAAACTGATTACAATAACTTGTTGGTGCTATCAACCGTTCAATCCCCTTGTTACATGTCTCTCAACCCTTCCTATACCTTAAGGATGGATTACTAGATCTAACAAGGTTTCTTCAATCTCTTTCTCATTTGTTACAACGACAGAGAACAAGAATCTCTCATTTGTTACAATGAAAGAGAACAAGAACAAATGTAGAAAATAAGAGATTTCTCAAAGCACAAGGTAAAAGCTTAATCACTCTTTTCTTTTCTTTTCTTTTTTCTTTTTTTTTTTTTAAAAAAAATGAAAACTCTACTTTCTGTTGCTTGTCCATTCTTCCAAATCTAGTTTTATTTCTTGAGGTTGCTCAATCAATGTTTCATAATCATTGGAGCTCATTTGGAATGAATATATTCCAAATGCACAAGGGGTTGGAACCTTTACTTCAAATAGAAAAGTTCACAGTTCTAAACCCTGATTTTTGAGGGTTGGAACCTAAGCAATTTTCTACACTACCACACAAAACAGAATTATCAAGGGTTCTAGACCCAATGCCAGGGGTTGAAACCTCAATAGGAATTGTTGATGAAACTCCTGAATCCTCTTGGAATTGTCCATCTCGGAGCCCTCCCAGTAGGAAGTTGAAAAAAACAAAGAATCATGTATCAATGGGCCAACACATGCAATTGCCTAACATTGTAGACTACTATGTTTGTCAAATATGTGATAGAATTGGACATTTAGCAACTGCATGCCCATACTGATATGTAATAACTTGTCAACTATGTAATTGTAAAGGTCATATTGCAAAAATTTACCCAATCATTACCGATCACAATTTGTGTTGAACCCATCCAAGACCCTTGCACAATCCTCTGAAAATATTGCAAAGATTTTTGGTAATGGTCATTGGCATCTTAAATTTCAAAAAATGTATTGAGATGATGCTCTTCGCAAATTACGTTATATTCAAGAACCATAATATCTTTGCCTTGATACTTATATTCTTCAATAAATTTTATATTTTCCCTTATTAATTTTGTTATGGTTATTCATCTTATTTTCATATTCCAACATTTATCAATGATTTCCAATTTTTTACTCACATGGGTTGTTGAGATTCTTCACGAAATTCTTTAGTTCAGCTCCCTATAGCCTAAAAGTTGAATCTTACATGTTAGAGTTGACTCTTGACATTGACAATCAAGTATGACCTGAACCCAAAATACTACCTACTTGTTGGAATTTTGGAGTCGACTCTTGATCTCATATAGTCAAATCTAAATGCCTCAATAGTTGAATATAGCCTCTTAGAGTCAACTTTGAACTACATTGCATATTTCCAGTTCAGCTACAAAGATGAATGTGGAAGCCAGAGTCGAATCTTCTTGCTTGAAGAGTCGAATATAACACTCTATATTCGACTCTTCAACCCAGTTCTCCATGTTTCCAGATTTTTATTTGATCCATTGCATGACTTTTTAACTACCCACTTAAACTTTGATTAATTAAACATCTTAAGAAGTGTTTGGTTATCATCAAACCCTTTCTTGAATATTTCTTCCTTTGTTAATTTCCTAATTACATAGTCTAAATGAATATGCAAGACATGATTTTAATGTCGTTAACCAATTGAGATGAGTTTTGTGCAACGCCTACTTTGCACCAAGAAGTTCATAAAATGTGTTTAGGGTTTAAAGGCAAGCATTCATGCAAACTAAATCCATCCCCCAAAATTTCACCACTTATACATCTATACATGACAGTAAATCATAGAAATTCATCAACCTTTCTCCCTGTTTCTATCATTCATAAAAAAATGGACATAAGCATAACAACCAAAGCTCCCCCTTAGCACATGCACATCAACCTTTTAAATCACAAACAAAAATGCCCATCACACACACTATGAACTAACAAATTTCTACTCCTCAATGTAAGCACATCAACCACATAATCAATGAAGACATAATCATCACAATCACTTTAGAGACCTTTATAAAAAAGCATTAAAATTAAGTTCATCTACTATCAACATTATATATACATATAGAAAAATAAACACTCTAAAAACATAAATAAACCTTTGAAAGACAGAGTTCAAATAGTAAAATGTAAATTGAAAGGGCATCAACAATTGGAACATGAGTTTTTATGATTCCAAATGTGAAAAGGGATCAGTAAATTGTTGTGAGCATGATGTGTTAGTAGTGGATGGATCCCCATTCTCGCTTGAGGACAAAAAGGTGCTACCATCCGACACTCGCAAATGTGATCATCAAGCTTCTTGTGAATCTGTGCAAGTCTCTCGAGAATGAACTGAATTCCTCTATTTGTGCTTATTTTCTGTAGAACCCAATATGAAGCAGATTGTGAGGGACCTCCTTCTTCTGTTTCTTACACATATTCTTCTTCCTCAAACCCTTCAGCCTTATCTTGTCCTCCTCTCTTCTTTTTTTGCTTCATTTCCCAAGAATTTGTTCTTGCACTGTATACATAGCCCATTTTATTTAGCAAAGTGTCATTAAAAGGCTCATGACTATAGAGGTCTTAGGACTCCATTCCCCATAAATCAACCTCCGCATTTTCCATTAGTAATGAGATGAGAGTTCCACACACCAATGCGAGTGTCAATTATGTTCTAAAATACACCATATGCCTCATCATATGGTGTCCTAAATTGATCCGTCTCTACCCAACAATATATGCAAACCACACACAATCTAGAGCATTAAATTTTCCAAATGACCATTACCAAGCAAAACAATGTGATTATATATCCAAAACATTAACAGATACTCCAAATTCAAGTGGTGAATGATTAACATTTGTGCCTCATCCCAATCATCCCCCATTAAAAATTTCTTTATTGAAGCCTTTGTAAAGTCATCTAATTCCCGAGCTCCCTCATTTGACAAATTTAAAATATCATTAATGGTTTCAACATCAAATTCAACATTTTTCTTAAGAACAATGGTTCTTAACACTCTATCCTCATCCATAGCACTTAAATTTGCATTAAAAAATTTTATCAATTATGGATAAACCTTAACTTTTCTAGTTACTAATTCAATCCACCCCATTGCATCTAGCATTTCCTTAACATGTAGCCCACCTCTACATATATCCTCCAAAACCACTCTAAACCCATAAATCACATTTCTAGTTGCTAGTCTTTAATATGCTTCTCTAGCATTTCTAGAAACAAAGTTGCGAGGGTTATTGGGTTGAAATACCTACTCATTGTCTGTCTTTAATCGCTATCCCCATGACTTTCTTCAACCCTTTAACGCC